ACTGGCAGGCTGACTTCAGATCTTCACATTCTTATGCAAGAAATGCAACCCACTCCCACCCCCACCCGCCACTACCACCCCGTGGAGAATCCTTGGTCCTAAATTATTTCACTGGGCCTGCTCCTCTGCCCGCTCTTGAAGCCGCCCACCAGGCTCCAGGCTCTGATTCCTCAGTCCATGCTTAGGTCAGAAAGGCAGCGGTTCTCATCCCCACTGTGGTGGAATCACTCACAGGCCTTTCCTGATCAAGTACAGATTTCCTGGATCCCAGTTCCAGAGCCACCTCTGGGACCTTCAGCTCCTCCCTACTTGAGGGATGCTCCTTCCCACTGCCTACCTTCTATACTTTTTCCCTCCTGCTCTGCATCTGCCTTTCTGGGCTCAGGCCAGCAGTCCCACGAGGGCACCCTGCACACTCACCACCTACTTCCCGGTCCCCTGAACTGCAGCACACAGCTTTTCACACCTACGAAGTCCTCAACCCTGTGTGAAGTGCCAGAAGGCACAGTTTGTAACTGTAGTAGAGAGCTCACACCCCCAACTTTGACTTCTAGTGTCTCTTTGCAGCTGCACTTCACCTGCTGACCATCATCTCAAGTAGACACTGTTCTTTGTCCCTGTGTAAAAATGGACACTTGGTCTTCTGAATATAAAGGTCGTGCATAGACTTTTTTTAATGACGTTTTACATTGAGGGTATCCATTCTCTGCTCCCACACTGTGCCTGAATGAGTGCCGCATCTCAGTGGCCACCTTGGCTGTTCCCACTTTGCCTGTGATGGTGACAGCCAGCAATGCTGCCCTCTGTAGCTCTAGGAAAGTCTCAGTGCCTGAGTCAGTCTGGGGCCAGCCACACTCCTGCTGGTTGACCCTTGTATCCAGCCTGTTGGGCAGGAGTCCTGGGAGCCTCTGGCCTCCAGAGTACAGCCTTCTCTTCCTACTAGAGTTGGTCCAATCTCTTTGATGGGGCCTCTTTCTGCCTTAGTCCTGGGGCTTCACATTCCTTCTCCCAGCTCAGCTGGATGCCAGGCCCTGTAGAGCCATGGTGTGGGTAGACATGGTCTACACCTGCCAGGCTACACCTGCCTTTCCATGTACCCTCAGATGCCTATCCCTGCCCAGACCACACCCGAGTCTGTGCGCTTAGACACTGCTCTGGGTGTCAGCCTCAGGTGCCACCAGGCCCAACCTCAGAGCCCCACCCCAGCTTCATCCCCAGGTAGGACATGAGGTACCCTGCAGGCCCTCCCTCCCCACCTCAACCGCTGAATCCCTCCAGACTCGAAAGGATGGCTGTATCCAAGCTAGACAGCCTCCCCTTCCAGCTGCTGCCAGCCAGTGATAAGTGGAGACTCCTCTCCATCACACACCCCTACTGCTCCCTCCCTTACTCTAACCTCACATTAACTCACTTTTCTTTTCTCTAAAGATCTAGTGAAAACCATTCTCTGCTAATAATGATAGCACATACCTTATTTAACTCTTACGGTGTGTGTACTCGGCACTATTCTAAGTACCTGACATGTATTGCTTCATATCATCCTACAACTTTATGAAATACGAAACATTAACTTTGTTTTACACAGGAATAAAATGAGGCCCAGAATTATGGAAGTCCTTCAGAGGGCAAGTGAGCCGCAAGCTGAGGCACCTGATGGCAGCCTATACTCCTTACTGCACTTCTCAGGAACCACAGTCTCAGGCTTCCAGGCACTTGGGCTCCCAACTGCTTGCCTGGCTCTGACCCTATATTTTTAGAATCTTCTTCTAGCCATTTGTCTTCTTACTCTGGTCTTAACCTTGTGTCCTCTCTATTGTCTGTCATCTATAGCCTTTAACCTGGCGACAGAGGGAAAGCTAATCAAGGACTATAGATCTACCCTAGGGAGCCTGCAAAGTGCATGATCCACACGCATGCCACCCAGAGTTGACTGAAAACCCAATGAGCGGCCTCCTCTAAGGCCTATTTTCTGGGTCCTCTCCCCCATTCCTGGCCCATCCGAGTCAGCCCCACTCTGTAGCCACCACGCCACCACTCCTGACTAAAAGATGCATCCTGACCTTCCCTCCCTGCCTTCTCACAGCCAGGTCACCCTGAATCTGTGCACCCATCATTATAGCTGCTGGAGAGCCAGCTTCTGCTTCAGCAAATGCTGCAGGGTGTTTGACTGCCAGCAGGGTCACCTTCTGAGGACGGGTTTGTGGCCTACAGAAGAGCTGCCTGACAGTCTCAGCCTCCCCTCACTCAGCCCACATCAAGCAGCTGGGTTATAAAAAAGGGGAACTTGCTATTTAGAAGGGAATCAGAGGGAGAGCTGTCAGCAGGACATAAATATTCATAGAGGGAGGTTAGAACTTGAGTCCCTAAAACCTTGATTTGTGTTCGTCCGTTTAAGCCTCATTAAAAAGTGGTAAATGAAAGTGGGGATATTCAGTGGAACTGCAGATAAATTGGGCTTGTTCAGATAAAGGCCTCCAACTGCCAGCTCCACAGGCCCTGCCCAGAGCACGATGGCAGATTGGCTTGGCCACTTGTGGTTTGCCAGCCTCAATTTAAAGATTTTGCTCAGCATGAGTTCCCGGCCTTATTCGGGCCAATTACCACTTATTCGGGCACCTGGTTGCCTTCCAGATGTGTTTAGGGATGGAAATCCCCAACCTGCTTCCCCCCAGAGTGACATGCAAACTGGGACTTGGCCCAAGGGGTGACAGGAAGAAATCTAACCTAGGACCAAAGATTGGCACAGGGTTTCCCACCAAGTACATAATATATGTGCCTGTGTAGTTGCTTCTCCTTTTAGCTTCCTCGAACTTCTGTGGGCACGAGGGGAGGAGTTCAGGCTCTGGTTGCTACAGGAGGTCTAGATCTGCCCCTACCTCCTCGGCTCCATCCACGTCCAACCCTAGTCATTCCTCCATAGCTACACACACACACAGACTGCAGCAGGCCGGGCCTTGTGGTGACCACAAAGGGGAGACAGACAGCCCCCATCCTAGGATGGCAGCTACAAAGTCAGGCATCCTTAGGAGCCAGGCAGTCACATGCGCAAGTGGAATGGGCCAGTCTGGGCTATACAGGATCCTTGGGCCACAAGTTTATACTGTCAGTAGAGGTCCCCAGAGTCCAGGAAGGGGAGGTTGGACACCTATCGCTGGGATGACCCTAGTGTGCTGTCAGCCTTATGAGAGAAGGGCTAATTAATTTGCCAATGGAAGGAGATGGTACCCTTCAGCCAGGGGCAGCAGAGGTGGCCTCATGGAGGAGGTGATGCTTGGAGAATTAAGCTTTGGGATCTGGTGTGGAATTGGTGCCCTGTGATGTCTACACCATGGGGTGGCAGCAGCAAGTCTCAGGGTCCCCAGGGGCTGGGCCGCGCAGTGGCCTGAAGCACATGCTGTTCTCTCCCAGCCCCACTGACCATCACATTGGACTGTCATTGTTCCCTGCGCCTGGCTGCTTGGTGCTTACTTCCCGACAGTGCAGGCTTCAGGATGGCCGCTGGCCGCTGGCCGCCACAGGCACAGGCCCAGCTCCTTGCGGAGGCTGCTCCCTAGGACAGTCCTACCTTTGGTGCCAATTAGCAGAGAAGTGACATAATTAAGCAGGCAGTCAACTCAGGGCTCTTCCCTCCCACAGGGCCCTGCTTCTAGAGCTGGAGTCGGCAGCCAGCTGAGGCTGCAGGAAAGGGGGTAGATGGAGTGGCACTTGGGCCAGGCGTTGGGACAAGGCGAAGCGGCAGACCCAGAAGTGGCTGAGCTAGGTGCTGGCCGGGCAGAGGGACAGGTGGCTTCAAGTGCAGCTCTCCTGATGCCGGCCCCAGAACACCTGCCTGGGACTCTGGGATCCTCTGCACTTGCAGTCATGGATTACTGTCTCCGCAGGGGCCTTTCTGGAAGAGACTGGATAAAGAACTGGCTGAGACCAGTAAGGAGAGGGGTGCTCCAGGCTGATTCCTCAGAAGACTCATTCCCTTTGGGGATCCCAGTCTCCCATTTGTGAACTAGAGGTCATATTTGCTATGACCCAGGGATGTGGTGAGGAGTGAAGTCAGATGGAAGATGGAGCATCCCGGGGACCTGAGGCACCATTCAGTCAGCTGCCATGAGGAACACAGGGCCCTCAGAACCTTCCCAGCCATCGAAATCTAGGCTCCTGCCAGCAGGAGGTGGCTGAGGAGACAGACACCTGGAGACAGATGGACATGAATTTTCAAAGCCACATGTGTGATACGAGTACCAGGCCTGGCCGATCTAGTCCAGTATTTTACAAATCATTTTCCCACAACTCACATTATATGCCCAAGAACACAGCTCTGAAACTATAATCAAAACAAATGGGAAAACTGATACTTTTGGCAGCCAGCCTTTGAGGAGCTTAGCTATTTTGCCCTACAAGTTACAGCTACCTTGATAGGCAATGTTTTTGCACAAGAACCAAGTCAGAAAGAAACAAGTTTTTTTGAGCTGTGTTTTTTTTACACTCAGTGATTTTTATTGATTCTTATAGCAAAATATATATTCTTAACTTGACTACCGGCAGAAGTGTGTTAATGCAAAAAATACCTCTGCTTTTTGGCCCCTAGATGTCCAACCACTGCGCCCCCCAGTCCCTCCCACGTGGGGGGCTGGGGAAAGGCAGGGCCTCACTGCATTCTAGGCTAAGCCTGGGCAGCAGGTGCCTTTTGTGGGGCCAGCTGGGGCAGGTGCTGGGGAGGTGGGGTGGAATGAGGGACTGCTCCTGTCTGCCCCCAGCCCACGCTCGGTCCAGAGGGTCAGGGTAGTTCAGAGAACCTTCTGGCACCCAGAGCTGCCTCTGTGGGGCTCAGGCTGCACTGTGTGGAGGTAGAGGACAGCAAAACAGAGAGGCTGGGGGCCCAGGGGAGCAGGGTGCTGTCCAGGAAGACTCCGAGAGCCTCCTTCCTCCCCATCCCAGGATCCCAACTATTTTGCACGTTGAAAGGCTCTGCCACCCATCCCGCTCTGCTGGGTGCTGTGTTGCAGATCGATGGGCTGGAGGAGAAGCTGTCACGGTGTAGGAAAGACTTGGAGGCAGTAAACTCCAGGCTCCATGGGGCGGAGCTGAGCCCAGAGGCCAGGTACTGTGTCTGCCCCCACCTCTCCTTCCTCCAGCCCCCATCTTCAGCCTGGGGCCCTGGCCCTGGGCTTCCATTCACCCTACCCCTGGCCACTGGAGATTGGGGCCCTTGTTCCCTTGTCCGTTGCCCGGGTGTGCCAGCTGCCCCTCAGATGGGGGGAAAAGGGCTTGAGCCATAAAACACCTTCTCCCCTCATAGGAAGTCTCTGGAGAAGGAGAAAAACAGCCTGATGAGCAAAGCCTCCAACTATGGTAAGAAAGTTCCTTTCCTTTACCAAGCCCATCCTCCAGTCCCAGGGTCAAGAGAGGACAAACAGCCCAGGAGCCCACCAGGTGCTGTGGATCAAGAGGGTTCTTGGGAAGGGAGTCAACCTCACCACCCCTCCCCCTCCACCCACCCCCAGTCCCCGCTGAGGCTATAGGGAACCCACTGTAAGCCCAGCGGCCTGGAAGGAGAGCAGATTTGTTCCTTTGTTCTGGGGGACATGGAGACGCCTGTGGGTCTGCTCTTCCTCTGTGGGATGAAGGGGAATGGTTGCCGTCAGTCCAGAAGAGACTCCCGTCCACCCAGACTTGGGAGATCCACCCCCCATCCCCTCCCCCCGCCCTTGCACTCCATCCCTGGAAAACCCCTGGAGGTGAAGGAAGGGCTACTGTGGGTGGAGCAATGCTGCCACCTTCTGGGCGCTGGGGGCAGAACCAGGTAGAGCCAGGAGGGTGCAGAGCCGGAGGGTGGCTACTAGCACCCCTACCCCAACCCTGCCCCAAGCAGCCTCAGAGGAAGCCGGTCTGCAGAGGTTCATCAGACTTCTCTGTTCTGTTCTCCCCGAGAGATCTGACCTGCCAAGAATCAGCCCTAGAACAGTCCAGGTGACAGGGAACCTCCCAGAGGGACCAGTTTGAGTCAAAATTGTAAGCACAGCACATGTGTATGCACACACACCCCTACCTGGGCCCTAGTCTCGGTCAGGCCTGCCCAGAGCGGATTTACAGGTACCTACCCACTCCTCTACACAAGGAGGGGAGCGATATCCATTCTCCCTCAAGCCTAGCAATTTCCACAACTGCAGTATCAGCCCTCAGTTTACCTGAGAGGCACCACAGTACCACCCACCTGCTTGTCACACAAAGGGATGAATGGATTCAGTGTGGCCACAGAATAGGACTGGCTTCCTCTAGAAGGGAGCCCAACCACCCTTTGGGCACAGACTGCTCTTAGCATCCCTGGTTTCCACTTAGCTGGGCCTCCAGCAGGGGGCAGAACTGGAAGCACTGATGGGGTGGCCCCACCCCATACCTACTCCAGTGTCAGGCTCAAAAAGCCCCAGTCGCCCTGAGTTTCTAGTTGCCCAGATGAGACCTCCTGAAAGGATGAGCGCCACAAAGCAGCCCCCTCACCACCACCGACAGTGACAGGCCAGAGGACTCACCTGGTGATGCCATGCCAACACCTAGCTTGGCTTTCAGGTGTGGCCTTTTTGATGACCCCCTCATACACTCCATTCTCAACTTCCACTGCATTTGAAGAAAAATGGTTGAGCAGCATTGGGTGGTGGGATTCCTTTGGGCCAGGATCTGTAGCCAAAAGGTTGTGAGAATCTGGGCAGATCAAGGACAGTCATTTTCGTGGATAAGGAAGTGGAGGAGCAGGGAGGGAAGACCTGCTCTCGGAGTGTCTATACCCATTTGCCAGAGAGGCAGAGGAGAGCAGCGGATGGACCCAAACTACATGTTCACTGCCCTCTTTTCTCCCAGAGAAGGAGCTACAGTTGCTTCGACAGGAGAACCGGAGGAACATGGTGCTCTCGGTGGCCATCTTCATCCTCCTGACCTTCATCTATGCCTGCTGGACCATGTGAACCTGAGGTTTCTCTACGGTCAGCACAGGGTCCCCTGGGCCTCCTGGTCACTACCAAGCAGGCCCTTCAAGCCTCAAGACAGCCAAGGTATAGGAGCATTTCTCCTCAACCCAGACACTGGAGCAGGACTTCAGCCCCTCTTGCCTCCTGGTCCCGCTTTGGGGCCTGAGTCTCCAGAAGGACTGTGTGTTGGTTCCTCCCTCAGCCCAAGGGAAAGGCAATAAAGAACAGCCACGCTGCTCCCGTCTGCTGAGTAAATGTCATGGTCTAACTGCAGCTGGACGGCAGTGGGGGTGGCACTTGGGAATCCAGGAAGGAAAGATGTTCAAGGAGAAGTGCTTGGAGTCCCCAGCTTAAGTGGGGAATAAGGAGACAGCAGAAAGCAGTTTTCAAGCCAAAACTAATCTGGGACCCATTTCCAGGGCTTAGGCATTGCGCCATCTGTCCATCGCCCCCACCAAACATACTGTCTTTGCCCTCCAGTCAGTGCCACTGCCTGTAATTATGGCAGAAAAAACTGCAGCCTGTGCACAGAGGGTGACTGGGGACTTGAAGTCATGTGGAGGTCCCACGGGAGCACAGAGTTAATCCATCTTCAAGAGGCAAGCAGGGCTGGTGAGGCCTGGCAGAGGGAGTGGGCAGCAAGAGCCATGGTGATGACCAGACTTAACAGTGACGGTGGCCAGTAAATCAGGCAGTGTTTGCTTGGCGAAGCAGTAGGGGCAGAGCCAACCTGAGCTGGGGAGGGAGGGGGCAGGAGAAGCAAACAGACTCTACCCCCCTACCGCACCTGGACTCTGTCCCAGCACCCAGAAGGCCAGGGGTGGGAGCCCAGAGCAAGGCAGATCACAGTAGGGCTTGGCGGAGAATTCACCAATGAAGAAGGTGAAAAGAAAGGACCCTCGGGGCCAGGGTGGAGGAAGGAGCAAGAGCATAGGCAGGCTGTAGGAGGCCAGCACCGGAGCTGTGGAGCTGCAGAGCTGCAGAGAAGCTCTAGCCCTGAGCTGAGAGGGAGGCGCCATCAGCACCTTCAGGCCTCACCCCAAGTACGGCACCCCCCACACCCTCCCCCGCCAGTGCAGGCCCAGAACGGAGGGGAGGCAGGCCAGGGGTCAGCAAAACCGTCTCTCCCTCTCTCTCTTCCTCCAGTCTAGTGACACTAATTGGTCTGACGCCTCTGTTATTTTAGTCACACAGACTGATCCTGGACTGTCACAGTGCCACCATGGAGTGAGCCATGTGATTTATGTGAAGGAGGCGGAAGGTGCCTCCCTGCCCCACTGGCTATAGGTTCATTCATTCTCCAGTTCCTGCTTCCAACAGGAGCTGCATAGTTTCTGGACTCTTCCTGGACCCCTCTCTGGCAGCAAGCAGCAGGGCCTGCAGGGCCCAGGAACTTGGCACAGGCTCTGAATAAACCAGCCTGCTTTTTCTTTTTCTTTTTTTTCTTTTTCCCCTCTTAAGCAGAGCTTCCCCCCTTCTCCAGCCCAAGCAGTTTCATCCAAGCCAATCCCAGACCACACAGCACCAAGGACAAACAGCAATAGCCCCAGCACAGAGCCACACAGGCATTAAAAATATGTTTATCTTTAATGATCCAAGATTCTGCAAGACACACTGATATACCCAGAACTGGGTGGAAATACAGCTTTCTCAGCGGTGCTGCCGCCAACCTGGGGGCAGGGAGGGGCTGGATGCTGGCTGGAGACACCCCCCCCCCCCCCCCCGCCCCGAGGTAGAGTCCGTTCCAACCTCTTGGAGAATCTCAGTGCCCTATCTCCATGGAAACCACCCTAGCACTGGGATGGGGCTCTAGGGAGCCCATAGGAGCATCTCTGAGAGGTATTTCCCATTAAAAACCACAGGTGCCCTCCCCCACCCAAAGCTACTGCGCCCAGCTTCCCCTCTTCCCCCCCCCTGCCAAGACAGGAAACGGAGTGACCACAAAAGGACAAACAAAAGTGACTGTACTTCCTATTGGGGAAGGGAAGGGTTAGCAAAGTGGCTGTGGCAAATAGGGGTGCCATGATTGCCAAAGGGCCAGGTGTGACCCCGCCCCAGGGGTACCCCATGTTGCCAGGGGGCCCCTTCTCTGGGGCATAGAAAAAAAAAAGGCAGGTCTTCAAGGCTGCTTCCTCTTTTAGAGCTGCCCAAGGTTCAGACCAAGAGGGGATGGGGTCCAGGAAAGCTCTACAACCCCAGGAGGCAGTCACACCCACTACCAAGACACTACCTGTGTTGTGATGCAGTGTCAGGGATGTGTGGCCCACATGCCTCCCTTTCCCGGCCTGCGGGACTGTCAGAGGTCCGGCTGGGAGGAACTCCAGGGAAGACCAGGACAGGGGTCAAAGAGAAGACAAAATCTTCTCCAGGTTGGCATCAAAACAGAGCAAGTTCAAAGAAACAAAACCTTGATTTGTACAGGAGCTGCCCCTGGCCTACACCCACTCAGGGTTGGCCCAATAAAAAGTTGGGCAGAGCAGGAGCGTGGCCACCCTCAGGGCAGTGCATGGAACTCAGAAAAGTGAGTCTACAGGATACAAGAGAGAATGGCAGAGCCAAGACCCTGCTGTCCTCTGACACGTCCTCCACTGGCCGCACTTTCCCTGGGCCCTAACCTCAAACCCGCTGTAGGAGCAGCATCCTTCAGGCTGAGCCCTGGCAGGGAAGACTGTTCCCAGGCAGGCCTCTGGGAAGGGAAGTCTGAAAGGTGTCCCAGAAGAAACATGAGCGTCCACTGAAGGTCCCTAACTGAGTTCTTCAGGGAGAATGGAGAGACCACCACCACCTCCCACCCCTTATGGCCAGGCTGCAGTGACTGTGCTCCCCAGGCCCTTTCCTAGAAGAGGAAAAAACCGGTACTGTGAGCCCCAGGCAGAGCGCCCTGACTCAAAGAACAACAGGTCATTCAACAGGGGTGGGCACCCCCACACCCTCAGGCGCTGTGTGTCTGGATGAACGAGAGGACATCTTCCTTGGACAGCTTGTCTGGGTCCTGGGGCTTCTGGGAGTCATGCACACGGATGCCATCCCCCCACTCCCAGAAGAGCCTGCCATAGTAACAGATGCTGGGGAGAAGGAAGAGAAAGGAGGTCAGAGGGCTGCACCCAGGTGGAGCAGGACCAAAAGATCACCACCCCAGCCCCAGTGACCACGATTTAGTGAGTTGGTTCTTAGGAGTCAGGTCAGGTGGGGTCAGCAGGGAGGAAGTTCATCTGACTCCAATTAAGGGTCTTCCCTCTGGCAGCCAAAAGATACCCAGTAGGCCCTAGTTCCTCCTCCCTGCCTTCCAGAACCAGCTTTTCCCAACAAAAAGCTGCTGCTGCTGATTATGTCCAACAGGATTCCTACCTACAATTACTGATATTCCTGGTGTATCTGACTGCTGCTTTAATAAAACCGTATAGTGTGGCAACAGAAACTATTGTCAGTGGCTAGTTATAAGCACATTAGGGCTGCTGGCTGCTGTCAAAACCTATGACTTAACAATCCTGCAAATGGACATAGGTCCTCATGAGGTATGACTAGGACCTTGAGTCGCAAGGGACAGGGCTGCATGCAGGTCCTCAGTATGTTTCCACTACCAGGCCAGTACCAGAAAGTCATGTAAGCAGTGGTTGCTCCAAGGGGCTGCCCACCTGGGACCCCAACCATCACAGCAGGTCCTAGCATCACTCACCTCTCACTGAGCTTCTACGCAGAAGGGGGCCACACCTTAGGGGGGGCCATATCCCCACCCTTGGGAGGAGCCCGGTACATGTTCAGGGGAGCACCTGGTTGGGCAGCCATCTTTCTCGGGACTTGGGGTGTGCCCCGAGAGGGCTGGCATCTTGGCAGGAGCACCAGAAACTGCAGAGGGGGAAGGCATGAAGGAGGACCACTTACTGAAATGGGGCAATGGAGTCTGCAGGGAGGTCAAAGGTAGAGATCTTGGTTTTCTTGTTGTAGAAGAACTTCCTCTTGAAGCTTTTGCTGAATCCCATAGTCCACGGCTCTGACAGAAAGAAGAGGGGAAAGGCCAAAAAGGACAAATTATTCACAGGGGACGGGCAGGCCAGCGTAGGGGTGGGTCTTTCTGTGCTCCTGTTCTTCCATTCTTGTCCCAGAAAGCCAGTAGAGAATGGCCTGTGAGGACGCAGCCTTAATCACCAGTCCACAGGGGTCAAGGAGGACATCGGAGATCATTACCTCTCAGCAACCCCATCCCAGTCCTGCCAACCTGCCACCCGGGCGACGACTCTGGGACCCCGGCAGAGGCAGGGCTCTGTTAGCCAAAGGGTGCTGAAGAAAAGGGACAGTACAAAAGATGCAAATGGCCAAGCTTAAAACTTCCTGCATCTGGTGCCCCCTGAGAAGGTCCTTTTCCTGCCATGAAGACACCATGTATACACAGAGCAGTTGGGGTCCTCTCTCCCCAGCCCCAACCCAACGCCGAGGACCCACCAAGGAACAGAAGAGGCTCGGGAAACATGGTCCCCGCTCCAACATACACCTCCAAGACATGCCAGCTGGCCACTATGTACCGGAGCAGGCTCAGTCAGGGTCTGGGCCAGTCTCCCTGGCTGTGGGAAGGAGGTCAGGGAACACTTGTCACCTACCATTCACCGTCCTGACGATGTAGAGGCCGGTGGGCACAAAGTGCCGGTCATCCCGCCCTGTGTAGCTGAGCTTCGGAGTGCCACTGGAGCCCTTGATGATCTTCATTTCTAACCTGATTCCCCCGAGGTGAGTACACAGGGAGTGTGAGTACGTGAGAGCGAGTGAGCACGTACGCCCTCACATTAGTCTCTGGCTAATAGTCCCACCACCCACAGCATTTTATCTCAGCTCAACATAAACTGAGGCAGAGACATGAGTTGCTCCAGGCTACACAGCAAGAGAGTTTGCACAGAGTTAGATGTAGGACTTGGGCTCTAAACTCTCAACTAAACAATGGAGGCAGGAAAGTGATGGATGCCCCTGCTCTGCTGCTGCTGTCTTCAGTGGGGAAGGGGCCATAGGGTGACACCAGTAAGGTAAGACCTGAGACCAGAGGTGCCACTGGGCCTTCAGTCCACCACCAAAGGCATCACAGTGGCCACTGAGGAGTTAACATGAGACCAGGGGACCTGGCCGGGCTCCCATGGCCACATTGGCCACCCACTGGGTCTCAACCCAGGATGAGACCCACAGATCAGAGCCCCCTGCACAGTGCTAAGAATGCGAGGAAGCAGTCATGCCCCCTCTACCCCTCCAGGCT